TTATATAAATAATTATATTCTTTGATTATAAATGTCAAAATACAAGTTTTGATGTTTCTAATTACAGAATTCTCATGTTATCTAATTTTTTTTAAGGTTAATATAAACATTATAAACAATCCTGCAAAGTTAAGACCAAGTGACCCAATGCCTCTGAAGTGCAGTATTGGAAAATACCTAAAGAAATAATAACAAACAATAACAAACTGAACACACAACCCTGCAGGTTCTCTGTTAATTGTTCAGAAACTACTTTCTGACAAGAAGCTAGCACTGAAATTTTAACAGTTATTTCTGGCCATATGATTGCCAAGGCAGCTTCTTCAACTGTGAATCTGCTGTAAAGAGATGCAGTCCTTTACTTCTAAAATAACTGAAAAATAGCTCAGAAGGGAGCTACCTGGTTTAGATTCTGATCCACAGTAGATGGTAGGTATAAAACCAAGTCTTGGCTGCATTTTTGTTATGGCATAATTGAAGACTCATTTCTATACCCCAGCTAACAAGTCATTTCTCAAAAATTATCCTGTCACCCCAAGACCCTACTGGATGTTTTCCATCCTGTCCTCTCACAGTGTACTCTGGACTTCCATGAAGAAGGGGGGGAAAAAACCAAACTAGAGAGAACAATCTAACCAGGGATAATTATATGTAACTATAAACCTAGTTCACAAGTAACAGTTCCTGTGTACAACCCTTCTAAAGTTTCCAGCAAACTCTTCTCCACTTCTTGTTCACTGAAAATTCACTGCTTCTTCTAAGAAGGCATCCTCCCATATTGCTTAGAGGATGCACTTCAAACCCTAGGAGGGCTGCTTCCCAATTCCAGTCTCACAATGGTGAATTTCTAAATCTCTGTGTAACATAGATTTACTTCCTGGAAGTGTTCCTCATTGAGAACTTCTGTGAGATCTGTCTTCCCACCCCAGGAAGGAGACAGCCCACTCCCTTAAGAGGCTGCATCATCATTTCCCCTCATCCAGTGAAACAGCCTCTAAATAGTTACCATTCTGTCCCTGAGCTCAACAGCAAATAGATCATTAGAAATTACAGGTTATTGGTCAAACCATGGTTTCTCTGCTACCTGTGGGGCTTCTTTAGTAAACAGCACTTTGTGGCCACCCCATTCACCTGGCTTTCTTCCAGCTCAATATGTGCTGCTCTCTGAAGTATCTCTTCAGCTTTCTTCTCCAGAGCTCTCCGTGCCCTCTCAATATCCTCCAGCTCTGTCTCCAGTTCTTTTATGCTCTGCTCTTCCTTACCACAAGACTTCTCCTTGTCCCTCAAAGACTGTTTAGACATTTCTACTTTCTTGATTTGGTAAGAAGTGTTCTCCTTTGCTTTAATATACAGGGGTCTCTGCTGAATCAGTGATGCTTCCAGAGTCCTAAAAAAAAGCAACAATACAAACCAAAAAAAAAGGATACAAACCCAAAAAAACAACCAACACAAAAAAAAAACCTAACCCCAAACCAAACAACCCAATGAACCAATAACCAGAAATCACATCCAAAACAACAAAAGCCCTCCAGAAAAAGAGAATTCCCTCCCAACCACACATGTAAAGAAATACTCAGTTGTCAACTGCAAGGTTACACACCCAGAGGTGATTTGGTGCTGTGGGGTTTTTTGTTTGTTTGTTTGTTTCTTTCTTTTTTTAATATCTACATTTAAGAAGTAAAGCACATCCTTCTAAAAAAATGTAATAGCAAACATGGTTTTAGGTAATGAAATTATTGACAACCTGGAGATGGTCGTGGAGGTGAAATTGATGTCTGGATGTTATTTTAGTAAACTACAACAAAGATTTCATAGCATTGGGCTGTCACTCAACTGCTTTATCAGGAAAAGCACACTTGCCAAGCAGCTCCCAGGGCACACTGTGCTTTAACTTATCTCTCAGAGAATCCATGTGGAAAACCTACTTCATTTCTTTTTCCATGTGCTGTTGGTCTCTGTTTAGTACACCAAGCACTTTTTTCTTGGCTCTAAATGCATCTTCTGCTCTAGAAAGAGACTCCTTCTTCATGCTAGCCTCCATATTCTTCTGATCCAAGCTTCTTCTTAAAAAGTCAATGTTTTTTTCGTTGTGATAAAGCAGGAAGAGCTTCAGTTGTATCTTTTCTTCATCCAGTTCCTGGAGAAGCATCTGGTAATGCTCTGCCTACCACAATTAAAAATCCTTTTTATAAACCATAAATAAAATTTCATCATTAGCAGTCCAATTTGAAGTCCAAAGTGATGTAAAATGATGTATCAGTGGCTATAATATCACTAATGGGCACTAACCATAAAACTCAAGCATGTGAGTCAACCCTTTAATTATACTGCCAAACCTACTTTCATTTATTTAGATTTTATTATATGTATTCATCTGCCCTTTTAAATGATACTAAACTATTATATAGTATACCATATTGAAAAAAAAATACCAGATGGAAATCAACAGTTTTTTTTAATAAGAAAACCTGTATCAAGTTCATAAAGATGTAAAACTTGAGATTTTACCATGCAAAAAAAGGAGTAACTTTGTTACCTCCTTTTTCTCCATCTTTGCCTGCTTGCGTTCTGCTGCAATATGTTTTTTCTTATTATAATTAAACTGCACATCCTCTTCTGCTTGCTGCATTTTTTTCTTTTTTTCTTCATAGTCTTCAGCATATTCCCATGAATTACTGATTTGCTCAAAAAGCTGAGTTCTCTCCTTTGGCTTCTTCATTGCTATTGATTCTACTGTTCCCTAAAATAAAATAGAAAAAAAAATAAACTGTAGCCCTGTCTAATGAATTTTTTTCAGAGGACATAGATTTATCTCCAGGTACATTTATGCTTAACAAAATTGGATGGAAATAGTCTTAAATTCAAACCCAAGGAAAAGTTTAGCACCAAAACAATTATCATCCAGTCACCCTACCTAATTAAGTAACATCACTAGAAATTCTAAAATGTCAGATATGGTCTAAGAAAAACACCTTCAAACTAAATCAACCTGCACAGCTCAGTGAGTAGTATCCTAATGACAAAATCAAATCTTCTCAGCCTCTTTAAAAGGAGCTGAAACTCATTTTCAATTATAAATAAGCTAACACCCTACACCCCCAGTATTTCAAAAGCAAAATAGCTGAAATCAATGCACTAGAAGATTATACAACTCCCAGAGTTATTGGGTGAGCAGCTTTTGTTTCTACAAAAGTGAAAAAACAGTTCTTCCTTGGGAATTTTCCTCAGCAACTCTAAGGAAGATAATCCTGTGAAACACATCCTAAATAAGTATCTGGCATTTCTGACCTATAGGGTTAAATACTTGTGAACTACTAACCCAGCAGGATTTTCAATCCCTCAATCCTCACATAAAATCCTGTAAATTTTTATGCATTTTGAGTTATACAAAAAGATAATCTTAAATCTTATTTGTAACAGTCCTGGAATTTAATACACTGAACCTCTCTATGTGAGGCCCACATTTTCCTATATTCTCTGAATAGCACAAATACTCTGTTTCTTCCAGATTAGCTTCTTTCTTACTAGAGCACTCACATACACACAACCCCCTTTATTATCATTTCGAAGTGTTTTAATTCTTGGCTAAGGTCAGGAAAAAATGTCTTGAAATTAGCTAAGGGTGCCCTCTTTTCTGTCAGATATGTGTATTCCTATGAAATAATCTCAGAAGCTTTTATTTTCTTTACAGAGTAGCTGAAATGCTCACCTGAAAAACAAGACAATTCCTAGCTTTGACAAGGATGCCTATTTTGGCAAGCTCAGCTATGTAGGTAGATCGGCTGATGGATTTATCATTGAAAAGAAACTCAGAACACCTACCTAAAGGAGGAAAAGAAAAACAAAAAAACACTGTAAAATGGCTACAACACAAGATCCATAAGAAGAGAATAAAACCAGTGGAACGATTGAGCTGAATACTTTCCTCAAAGAAGAAAAGAGATTTCAATTACTCCCGTAGTCATGTCATTTTTCTCTATGAAAATTCTAGTCCTGTACCTCCAAAATGTATTGACAAATGCTCATGTGCTTGTGCCTCCACCATTTTCTAGAGTCCACACCATCTACACATTCCAAATGATTACACACCAAAGTATAAACCAAAGAAATACATTCATCACTTGTTCCATTTCTTAAACTTTGTCCCAGTGTATTTTTTCAATGATAACTCGTCACCATCAAAATGCTACAAGAAGCATTGTATTGCTCATGGGTTTAATCCACCCAAATACAACAGAATATTTGGCAAAGCTGAATATTCTTATTCATGAGCTCCATTTTTTATACATCAGACAACATCATTATTATACATCAGAAAATATGTGCAACAGAATCCACTACCCACCACGGATAACTCTTGAAAATGTTTTTTCTTCCCCATCATCCTCACAATACACCATCTTCACACTAGCTGTGGAGGAAACTGGTTTCCCAACATGTGCTCCATGAATAAGCTGTTGAATGCTTTCAACTCGCAATGCAGATGTCTTTTCACACATCACAAAACTAACAGCATCCATTATGTTAGATTTCCCTTAAAAAAAAAAAAATACAAAATTGCTCTGACGTGGCAGAAATAAAAGGAGGCATTGGATTAATAATTAACTAAAAACCATACATAAATGCAAAAGTCTTTATCAATTCTATATTTGAGGAAAAACTAATGCACATGTCTAATAAAGACATTTCTGAGATGTTCCCCTTTGTCTTCAATAAATAAATACATTTCTGAGATGTTCCCCTTTGTCTTGAGCATTTCTGTTAACAGTTCAACTATCTTCTGCCTTCAACCTTCCTACTTTGGCAGTCTTTTGACTTATTCACCAAAATATCATAAAAGGATGAATACTAGGGGGAAAAAAAAAAACATAAATAAAAACCTCGATTCAGAGATTACACAATATTCACATTTTTTTCCTCCTCAGGTTCATCTATAAAACGTATTTGGATTTAACTGGAAGAGTACCTGGGAAAAGCATCCATAATTTTGATACTTTCCAATATGCAATGGGGACAGGATGATAAGGAAAATATTAATAATGCCAAATAATAGTTACTCACATTCATAGATCTCACTTCAATTGGATAAGTAAAGAAACAAGATGATCTAAAAACCTAACAGACATGGGAAACTAATACCAAATGCCAAGCCCATCCTAACTGCTCTTTGTTAGGACAGCCCTCACCTCCTATCACACTGTTCTCTGGCAAATAGAATCCATTTGCAGAATGAAGCTTTCAGAAGTGAACCAAATTTTAAGAAGCTTCAAAACTCACAGCATAACACTGAGGTGTCACATCTACAAACTGAGGCTCTTGAAGGCTCAAGACTGCAGCCATCCTGCAGTGCTACCATCGCTTTCCCAGAGGCATTTACTTATACAGCAAAGTCCACAGACTCAAATCAAGAAGCAGTTTTTTTACTGCTGCAGTGCACAACCCAGGGTATCCCAGTAAACCATCTTTATGGGACCTTAAGCTGAACTACAAACTCGGGTAGCAAAGTGTGCTGTTTATGAACCTTTCATTCTACAAGAGCTGTGAAGAGCAGACAAGACGACATGGAAATTCTTTCAACCCTCACCCCATCTCTGTCCCTCCATGCTGAAAAAAAATGTATGCTTTCAGCTGAAGAAAGCAGTGTTTTAAGAGCTTAGGAAACTGTTCTTGTGCTGCAACTCCCTAATATACATATAAAGGGATTTTAAGCAGGCCCTGAACCTTTCATTCTACAAGAGCTGTGAAGAGCAGACAAGACGACATGGAAATTCTTTCAACCCTCACCCCATCTCTGTCCCTCCATGCTGAAAAAAAATGTATGCTTTCAGCTGAAGAAAGCAGTGTTTTAAGAGCTTAGGAAACTGTTCTTGTGCTGCAACTCCCTAATATACATATAAAGGGATTTTAAGCAGGCCCATGAGTCTTTAAAAAAAAAAATCTATGCTTTCAGCTAAAGAAAGCAGTGTTTTAAGAGCCTAGGAAACTGTTCTTGTGCTGCCACTGCCTAATAGACATATAAAGGGATTTTAAGCAGGCCCATGAGTCTTTACTTCCCTTCTACCAAACCCTGCAACTCTACTCCTCGACAGCAAAGCCCTCAGTGTCCTCACCCACCCCGTGCAGCCGTGCTGGGCCTATTCCTGGGCCTGCACCTGCTCTGCTCCTGTGGCATTCACAACAAAAAGCCCTTGCAAACACCCCAAAAACTCAACCCTCAATCCTGACAGGTAAAGTGGAGAAGTGGGGCCACCACCTGCTCGCTACCCATCCCCCCCAGGCCGCTACCTGATCCGTT